TGTGCAAAAGCAGGAATTTGAGCCCTGGTCTCCCTGACAAACTACTAGACCTTGCTGTGCAACCATAACCATAAGCAGGATGGGAGGTCTATAGGCACTTGAAAGGGGAAAAGAGAAACAGGAGAAATTGAACTTTTTGCAGATACCAAACCAATATCCTCTTCCATGGTAGGGAGGAACCTCCTTCCCCAACCCTCCTTTCCCACCACCCCATGACAAACCTCCTTGGAAATGGGAACTGGTACAACCTGTCAGCGAACAGCTTTCACTGAGAAGCCAAAGAGTGTCCATTTTCCTACACTTTTCTCCAAGAAGAGTTTTCCCCAGCCATAATTAGCTTAAATTAATAAATACTGATCCCTCACTTGCTGCTGAACTCCTTTAATCTTACTCATCTTGGAACGCATTTCCCACAACCCCAAAAGATAAATAAAGTCAGACGGTCGTGGGATTCTGTCTGCCACCCAGAACCCCTTCCACCAGCTGACAATGTCCCTGCTCAAGTTATGGGAAAGCAGGTCGCACAAACCCAGCAAAGCCCCAAGTCTTCGCCGGACACTTTTGATGTTCGCTTCCAACCGGCCGGTGCATCACTCAAAGACCGGGAGCTGGGCTCACTCTTCAGTGGAATATTTATTGGGCAATTTAACACCACTTGCCCCCGCAGTCATGCTCCCTCGTGCATAGATAGCAAAGGCATGTTTGCACATTAGAGAAAGGATTAGTGAAAAGTACCTCTACAGTACCTCCTTCCCCTGCATCAAGTGGCAGGGACTGAGGGTGGATGAACATCCTTCAGTATTTTGCCTTCACGTGCAAGGAAGAATGATTTCTGTAGCTTTGTCCCCACTGGGATTAGCACTCCAGAGGTTTTGCCTGGTCTTTGCACATCCCAAAGTGTTTTGAGATATTATTCTGCACAAAAATAAACATTGTATTCTATTTTGGTCAGACCTCACCTAGGACATTATCACACGTGGGCCAGAAAGCGGAAATAAAAGTGGAAA